TCCTCAGTACCATATAAGCAGAAAAAGCTGGAAGTGGCGCTGTGGCTCAAGTGGTAGAGCACTAGTCTTGAGCTGAAGAGCTGAGGGATAGCGCCCAGGCCCAGAGTTCAGGCCCCACGACTGACAAAAAAAAGCTGAAAGTGGAGCAATGGTTCAAGTGGTAGAGCACTAGCTTTGAGCAAAAAAGCTCAGGGACAGTGCCCAGGCCCTGAATTCAAGTTCCCCCCCCCCCGCAACCCCCTGGTACTGTGGTACTGGCACGCGCATGCATGTACATGCACACACACACACGAACACAGAGGCATAGCCATCTCCCCTCCTAATGGAATTATCTGGTCCAAAATACCAACAGGTTGAGAAACTGCTTTACATTTCTTTGTAATGTTGGGATGAGGAAGACTCTTAAATTTATGGTTCCATCTATAAGCATGTATATACATATGTAGATGTACAAAACTAAAGAGAGAAAAAAAAACTAAAGAGAGTTGAGATCTTGCATTTTTACTAATAGAGTTTGGCCCTTGATTTGCCTTTGTTTTTATTTATTTTTATTTTTTGGCCAGTCCTGGGGCTTGAACTTGGCCTGGGCACTGTCCCTGAGCTGCTTTTTATTTTCTTTTGGTTATGGGGCTTTAACCCTGGACCTGAGAGCTATCCCTAAGCTCTTCAGCTCAAGGTGAGCGCTCTACCACTTGGGCCACAGTGCTGCTTCCAGCTTTTATCTGCTTATGTGGTGCTGAGGAATCGAACTCAGGGCCTCATGCATGGGAGGCAAGCGCTCTACCACTGAGCCACCTTCCCAGCCCCCTGCTGAGTGCTTTTGGAAAGGGGAGAGGAGGGAATGCTTTGGCTACTAGGAACTAGTTCTCTGGCCCCTCCCTACAATGGAGCCATTTGAAAAGCGTTAGTTGAGCATTTATGGTGACCTCATCCATAGCAAAGATTCACTGAGAGCTGTCATACAACCTGACCTCACTTCGCTAGCCAGTGGGGAGATAAGTACTTGAGACTCTACTGCTGGAGCCACACTTCCACCTCTTGTTGCCCTGGTTGTTTCTAAAACAGGGTCTTGCTTTTTGCCCAGGCCAACTGGAACTGTGATTGTCCTATTTATTTTTCCCACTATAGTTGGGATGGTAGTCACACACCATGGCACCCAACTATTAGTTGAAATATATCTTGAAAAGTGTGTGTGTGTGTGTGTGTGTGCGCAGTGCGCGCGCGCCATTAAATTGAGTGCTGTCCATTAGCTTTTTCGTTCAAGGTAAGCACTCTACTACTTGAGCCACAGCTCTATTTTTGGATATTTTTGAGATTTTTATTTTTTGGCCTGGGCCTGGCCTTGAACTCTCATTTTTTGTCCCCTGAGAAACATGAGCCATCAGTTGGGTTAAAATTATGATCTTGTTCTGTGGCTCAGGTTGGCCTCAAACTCCTGTGTTCAATAACCTTGATGCTTCACCCTTCTGAATTGTTGGGACTAAAGGCCTGTGCCATCACACCCAGCTTTCTAGCCAGTGTTGATGTGTAATAGGGGGACAGTGAACCAAAATTTGACCCGTCAGGATTTTTTTTTTTGTCAGTTGTGGCACTTGACCTCTGGACTTGGGCGCTATACCTCAGCTCTTCAGCTCAAGGCGAGCGCTCTACCATTTGAGCCACAACTCCATTTCCTGTTTTCTAAATGGTTTATTGGAGATAAGAGTCTCACAGAGGGCTGGGAAGGTGGCTCAGTGGTAGAGCGCTTACCTTGCATGCATGAGGCCCTGGGTTCGATTCCTCAGCACCACATAAGCAAAAAGAAAAAAGCCGGAAGTTGCGCTGTGGCTCAAGTGGTAGAGTGCTAGCCTTGAGCTGAAGAGCTGAGGGACAGCACCCAGGCCTAGAGTTCAGGCCCCACGACCGGAAAAAAGAAGAAGAAGAAAAAAAAAAGAGTGTCATGGACTTTTCTTCCCAGGCTGGTTTTGAACCTTGATCCTCAGATCACAGCATTCTGAGTAGCTAGGATTAAGGTGTGAGCCACCAGCACCCAGCCAGTAAGGATTTTTTTTCTTTTTTTGTTGCTTGTGGGGCTTGAACTCTGGGCTTAGGAGCTATCCCTCAGCTCTTCAGCTCAAGGTGAGCGCTCTACCGCTTAAGCCACAGCACCACTTCCAGTTTTCTAGTGGTTTATTGGAGATAAGAGTCTCACAGACTTTCCTGTCACGGTTGGCTTTGAACCTTGACCCTCAGATCTCAGCCTTCTGAGTAGCTAGTGAAAGATTAAAAATTGACCATTACCATTACTAACTTGCTAACTGCTGATTCTGCTTCTGTAAACTTGCTTACGCTAGCATTGACCCTTCCCTTCCCAGAAATGAGTTAAGAAGTCTCAGAGCCCAGATGCCGGCCCCAGGACAAGGTCAGTGGTCGTAGATAAAGAACAGACAGTACGTGGTCCTCAGTTCCCATTTAAAAATTCCCCAGACAGGACCTTGAGATAACGACCACCTGGCAAGACCACAAGCTGAGCCAAATGTCAACCAATCACAAGTCTGTAACTATGTGAACTCTCCTAACCCTTATTGTCCAAAGTAACCACCCCCCTTGAGTCCCCCGCGCCAATCATTTTACCAAGAGTGTTACAAAATTTCCCGCGTGGCAAAGTGATTGTTGGCGTATATGATGACCTTTAAATGGACCAATCATGGGATGCTTTGTGTTATGCGTTAATCTTGTGATTTTTGCTTTTAAAAAGGCTTGTAACCGCTGCTCAGGGCTCCCTGTCTGCTCAGGACAGAGAGTCCGTTTGCGCAAACGTCAAATAAACTCCTCTTGCTTATTGCATCTCCTGGCCTGGAGTCTGAGCTTTCTGGGGCGCCCTCCCGTTGACGAATGTATCCTAGGGTGCTAGGGTCTTTCAGCTAGGAATCCAGGCCTGAGTCACCAGCGCCCAGCTCCAGTGAGGATTTCTTTATGCCTTACAATACTTCAGGTCTTTAGAGCAATTTTCCTGTTCTACTTGCAGTTAGCTTCTGTTACTTGTTTTTTTTTTTGGGTCCGGTCATGGGGCCTGAACTCTGGGCCTGGGCGCTGTCCCTCAGCTCTTTAGCTCAAGGCTGGCACTCTACCACTTGAGCCACAGTGGCACTTCCGGCTTTTTTCTTTTTGCTTATATGGTTCTGAGGAATCGAACCCAGGGCCTCAGGCATGCAAGGCAAGCGCTCTACCACTGAACCACCTTCCCAGCCCGAGCTTCTGTTACTTGTAAGCCAAAGGTTTTAACCAACACAACCACTCCTGGGAAGGCCACAAAAGTTGTCTCTGAGGAAGACTGCTCTTTTGAAACAACAGTTTAATGGGTCTTCTGTGTATATGAAGGTGGATTCATTCTGGAATCTAGGCGTTCAGAATAATTAAACTGTAATGACAGTGGTGAAAGAAGGTGTGCTGTGGGCAAGCATGCCTGTGCAGCTCATTAATGCTTGATGGCTTTTCTTTGTTTTCCAGAGGATGGTCTTTATTTTATTTATTTTTTGTGGGGGGTCTTAGGGCTTGAAACTCAGGGCCTGATCACTGTTTTTGAGCTTTTGTGTTTTTTTTTTTTGTTGTTGTTGTTGCCAGTCATGGTGCCTGAACTCTGGGCCTGGGCACTGCCCCTCAGCTCTTCAGCTCAAGTCTAGTGCTCTACCACTTGAGCCACAGCGCCACTTCCAGCTTTTTCTGCTTATGTGGTGCTGAGGAATCAAACCCAGGGCCTCATGCATGCAAGGC